GCAGAGGCACAGGGAGAAGGTGAGCAGCAGGCTCTGCCTCTGGGCCCTGGGGCTCCTCGGGGTGCCCTGGAGCCTCCCCACCCTGTCCCCCTGTCTGTCACCAGCACAGAGTGACGGACACGAGTGGCAGGTCACACTTCCCAGCTTGTGTTTTACTGGTGAGGGGGGAGCCTATGCCCTTCTCTTTAACTCAGCTCCCTGTGCAGGAAAGAAAGCTCCAAGATTCAGAGAACGAGCTCGAGATCCGCATGAAGAACATCCAGGCCAGATCAGAGCAGCTCCAGAGCCAGGTGAGTCCTCACAGAGCTCCCCCGACCTGTGCCAGTCCTGGGCTGGTTCCTCATGGGAGCTGCTCAGGAAAGCTCAGCCAGGGCTTCTGCTGCCATCCCACTGAGAGGTGAAGCTTTGCCACCAGTCAGAGCAGGGCTGAGCATTGCTGGTGTTTGCTGAGCAGGTCTGAGCTCTGGGTTTGCTCAGTGCTTGCTTTGGGGGCAGTGTGAGGGGTCCTGAAGCACACCTGACAACTCTCCTGTTTTGGAATGGTTTTGAGACTCAGGGCTGAGGTGCTGCTCAGCATCAGCAGTGCCCTGGCTCTGACACTGCCCTGCCCTTCCCCTGTGACAGGAGGAGTCCCTGCAGAGGAGGAGGCAGCTGCTGCTGGATGAGGACGGACGGATGCAGCTGGAGAGAGACGTACGGACACCTGGGCTCGAGAGGGGCTGTGCTGCTCTGGGCTGAGGTCACAGGACTGGGGCTTTAGGGAAGCACTGTGCTGGGTGGTGGGTCGTTCTGAGCTCCCCAAAGAGAACAGTCCTGTTCTCCCAGGATGGGTGTGTGGCTGTGTAGCTCTGGGACCCCGTGAGCTGTGTGCCCCTTGTTTGGCTCTTGGGGCAATGACTGTGAGGGATTGTCACTACAGGACATGAAAGAACACAAGTGCACTCCGCTGTTCTCAAGGTGAAGGAAAAAAGGGAAGTTTATTTTCTGACTCTAAGATTTATAGTTTTCTAAAAGTGACAGCAGATTGGAGGGTGACAATGCCACCTCTCCAATGACACTGGTCAAGCTAACAGTCCATCAACTTTTTCTTCTTCTATAAAGGAATGCAAAACAATGAGTTATTTACAAAAAGCTCGTGAGAAAGTTCACTACAAGAATGTCAACATCAGAAGGCTTAGAAAATGTTAAAAAGCCAGGGTGATAAGGGATGTCCTGTGTTTCTCCCAGGAGGCTGCTCTGGCCTCTCAGCTGCGCCTGGAGGAGAGCAGGAAGGAGCACTGCAGCCTGCTGGAGTCCCTGCGGCAGCTGCGCAGGACCCTGCAGGAGCTGCAGGACCAGAAGGCCGAGCTGGAGGCCCAGGTGGATCTGCTGCAGAGCCGCAGCCAGAGGCTGCACAAACGCATTGGGTGCGTGTGAGGAATTGCCTCTGATTCCCCAAAATCTGCCCTGTGCCCCTGGCAAACCTCCCCACCCTAACCTGGGTCTCTCCCCGACCTCTGAGCTCTGTGCTGGGCCATGTTCCTTCAGAATAATCCTCAGGTGCCCATGGGGGCACAGAGTTCCTGGGGGCTGGTTCTGGATTTTTCATTAGCTCAGGGTGTGAATTTCAATTTGCTCCTTCACCTCTGCAGGTCAGGTTTGCCTCCTCCACTCCTGCCTTGGGTGGTTAATGAGGGGCTGTGAGAGGGGCACTGAAATGCAAAGAGGTTTTTCCTGAGGGGGCTGAGCTGCTCAGGAGGGGTGGGAAGCAGTTTCCCTGCCCAGCCCTGGTGTTGTCAGCCCTGTGGCCCTTTCCCTGCTGGAATCTGGAGCTCACTCTGGACACCAGTGCAGGCTAATCAAGCGCCTCTGCTGCTGCTTTTTCCTGTGGCAGAGAGCTGGAGGAAGCAATCAGGAGCAAGCAGGAGGCTCTGAAAGAACTGGAGGCAGAAGAAAGTGTGGAATCTCCAAGAAAGAAAGCTGAGCTCTGTGTTGAAGACCTGAGAGAAGCTCCTCAAGCTGTGAGTAAAGCAGCCTGTGAAGGTGTTTGCCTTGCGAGATCTGAGGCTGAAACTCCCTTGAAAATCCCAGCATTTGTTCCTCCTGTTTGAAACCATTTGAGGTGCAGAGACGGATTTCTCTTTGCTGGTGTGTTCAGTAGTATTTGCAGATGTCTGTCTATTATTAGTGGGTGGAGAGGAGTGTGGGGTACTCAGATCAAAAGCAGGGACAGAAATGCCTTTGTTTCCCTCAAGAGCCACATGAGGAGCATCCCTGGTGCTGTGCTCGATCTGGGCAGTGCCATGGTGATGTCAGTGGATCCTTAGGGCCCTGTGTTTCCCCCATAAACATTTGGTTTTTGCAATGTGTCACCCCCAGCACTCATCCAGAGAGCCTTCCCCAGCCTCCCAGAGCCCCGAGGAGAGCGAGCTGCAGCTGGACCGGTGAGCTCCCGTGCCGGGAGAGCTCCTGCTCTGTGCTGGGTGTGCCCAGCAGGCACTGAGCCCGTTTGGGGCTGCTGTGTG